CATTAGATAGGAGCTATTCAGGTCCAATCCACCAAAGTTTGTGAACCAGAACATCTTTAGGCAAAATGCCTTTGAAAGCAATATCTTCAGGATTCGAAGAGCTACAAACATTAAGTCCAAACTACTTAAGGAAAAAGTGATTAAATTTAGTTAGCTCTATTTGTCACAAACTGATTTTCTTTAGTAGGTGAAGAGTAGATCCAAGTTAAAACAATTTGTCAGTCAGACCACAAATAAATTTCACTTAAATTAATGAGCAATGCTTACTTACTTTTAAACATAACTGAGCTACTAATATGCAGCATAAACTCATGGGTAATGTCACATGCTAGGCAACCTAAGTAAAGTCACTTTATGGGCTTTACTTTGGCTTTAGCTGCAATGAAATCTACAGAAATTTCACCAAGAGAAGAGATCATGCTAAAGTAAAAATTGCTGTATATACTTTGCCTAAATCATCATAAAATCCATGAAGCTGAAAGCATGAATAGGACATCGTTGGGATGCTTAAATATCTTCTTATCCCAATTGATTTTGGGAGTCCAATTTGAGAACTGATTCTTTTCCAAGTACTCCAAACAGAATTTGAAACTGGATCACCCCTAAGAGATTTTATATGATGCTCCAATATATTTTACATGATTGTACTAAGGAATGAAAATCTAAAAGGATCAAAAATGCATGTTATTCAAGATAAAAAAATCTCACTTTATATGCATAGACATAAGACTACTAACATGAATATTCAATATCCCTTCTGAAGAATTAATTCCAAATAAGGCCAAAGAACTTTTGGGGTGAGTCTTCTGGAAGATTTACATTTTGCATAGTAGATATAAGTTCCTCAGAAAGATTAACAAGAACTGATGGTACATTTGAATTCCACTTCCTAAGTGTGAAGCCATCTTTAGATAAGACATGATTTAAATCACTGATCAATTGTTTGGCTTCATCGACTGATTGAGACCCATCAAGAAGATTGCTGACAAAAATTTTTCTAGAATTATATGACAGCACAAGAAAATTCTGAGCTATAACCTTTTGACAGCTGATGAAATGTTCTTATTGCAAGGAAAGGTACAGAAACTATGTCATAAGTTACAGTTAACAGTCTTTAGTTAGTAAGAGATTCATCCGGCTGGAATTGCCAAAAGAATCTTTGAAAATCACCATGCCTGTGGCTAATTACAATTTGGCTACAGATCTTTGCAGTGTCCCCTGTCAAGGCTATTTGGGTATGACTACAAATCTGGTTGTAACTCTGGGCTCACTTCAAGAAAGTAATTTAAAGAATATCCTATTGAACCCCCAGTATTAGAAATGATTCTTAACTTTGTACTATCCTCATTATCCATGGTGAGGCATACAGAAATAATTTAATTTTGATCAAGATCAGGTTTTGGAACTCACTCTATACAATTTAGGTCAATATATTCTAGCATAAAGGTATGATACTCTTCTTTAAGCTAATGATTTTTACTGAGCTCAGATTCTAACAGTCAAAATCGCTTCAGAGCATCTGATTTGCCTAATTCTGGAGCCTTCTTAAAAAAGACATCCACCATACACCTTCCAAATTGGGTTCTAGTTACAGTTTTAGCTTATAAATCTTCAGAACTCTGATCTAATAATATGTTAGGAATAGAATCAATCTTTCAAAAGTTCTGAAGGTCATAATTTAACTACACTGTAGCATGGCAATTAAGGATCGATTTAGAGGACTGTGATGGATTTACATGTGATTCCTGAGAGAAACCCTCCCAGGTTTGATTTTAAAGGACAAGAATTACTTTTAGGTCCAAGAACTCATTGTCCTTATATAATTAGATGGAAACAAATCAACTGCTCGTATTAATGTCAGTGGGCATGGATATAAAAAAAGTTCAGATCAGTTGACTATAAATCTTCCAAATGAGGCTATGACAAACATGAAACGTAAAGTTAGGAAGATTAATTTCACATTATTAACCATCAATGCATAATATTCCATTACTGACATAGGATTTTAAAACAATGTGAACCTTAAAAAGAGCAATTTCTGAAATAATTTTATTATTGCCTGATATTTTGTGATTTATAGTTCTCAGTGGCAGCCCTAATTTTTTAGAACTAGCAGTGCCAGATTTATGTATAAGCTGCACAAGCTATAGCTTAGGACCCCCACTTTCTTGGGGACACCCCCAAAAATTGTACCATATCCCACATAAAAAAAAAAAAAAAATTATTGATATCCCTCATGAAAGGCCCCATATCTCAAATAGCTTAGCTTTTCGTCAAATCTAAATCTGGTTCTGAGAACAAGCCTTCGAGATTTGAGTTTTTTGACTGTCTGAATCCACCAGGGCTCTATATGGTACAAAATTTCCAGTATTTGACCCTAAAAGAATAATTACTGTTGGAAATAAGTTCTGATGATCAGTATGAGTACCTGTCAAACAATTGGAAAAAACTAAGGTAGACTACTCCTATTTGCAAAATCCACATTGTCTTCAATGTCAGATGAAGAAACTGGAAATGATTTATCACAGTGCAAAAGTATCTGTGCTTAGGATTACAATAATGCCACCTTGTAGAAATCAAATATTTTGCAACAAAATAATTTTAAACATTTAATTCAAAACTTCCAATTTTTTTACTGTATTCCATTTTTCTTCTGTGGATTTTTTATGGAAATGTGGATGCTTGTAGCTCAGAACATTCATGGCACATTAAATTATTAGCTCCAGTCCTTAAATTTTCTACTATAATATTACTGACTGAGTCTTTAAAAATAACTTTTATTTTCTGCCTTTAAATTGATTTCACGTCCAACTTGCAAACTCTTCACTTGTTTTGGGGAAACAGAATAAAATTTTCATAAGCCAGAAAAGCAACATTATCAAAAGATAATTTCCACTGCCTTCTAAAGCCATTGTGTAATTTCATTTGCAAATTAAATCTACAAATGAACTGAATTCAAATTCCAAGCACTTAAGAGTTTTGCACGGCTTAATTAGAATTATCGGTACTTTTTCATTATGCATCTACCCTACATTTTAGCGAGTTATTTTAATTGTACACAATATCTAGTTATAAGAATAGTTCATAAATACACACATAGACACAACGATAGCCCAGATGGCACTATCATTGGGTTTCAGCATGTGTTTGGTTTCTCTTTTAGAGGTACCAGGAAGCATGGCAGGTACATAATGGAAAAGTACCTAATTATGTAACAATTCTAAGATTGATTTTCAGCAATCAGGTCTCAAAGGTTTAAAATTACAAGATGCATTTAATTTAGCATATACTAAATTTTTCATTTTGTCAAATCATGATACTAAGGCTGCCTAAGCTTCACTGTAACTTGATTCTTTCTTTGAGAAGACTTTTATTAATTTAGGAGGCAGACCCAACCTCAGATGCTTTCAAATACTCTAATTTTTGCATATCAGTACATTCAGAAATAGTAGATAAAAGTATTTGCTATTTGCTTATAGCTTAACAAATGCTTAACATTTCCATTAGAACTATGCAGATCAAATTTAGAAAATAGATTACTTTGAAGTAGAATTAGATCCTCATTAGTTTTAACAAATTTATTACTTTGTGGCTTTAAAGTATACTCAATCTTTATATTGATTCCAAATAGCTTTTCAGAACATTTCTGACTATTTTGCCTGTCTGTAACTCCTCTAAATCACTAACTAAATCTTCAATTTGATTACTTAAGACATCTATCTGAGTTTGCTTTTCATTTTGTTGACCTTTCCAAACTTTAAATTCTCCAAAGTCAATCTGATAAATTGGTGATTGACCTTTGGTGATTTTGTTTTCAAGCTTAGCATACTGGAATTGCACAGTAAAGAACAGTTTGCTTTATGCTTTTGCTTACAATTCACTTTTTTTTTCCCTAAATTTGACACTACTGAAAATAAATAACTATTTAATATTCCATATATAAATATCAATAATATTCAACAAATTTTTAAAATACATCCATAGGTCTCCATCATCAATGAGTCAAAAGTACTGATTATGGATTATATATTCTAAATATTATCTGTGAACTAACTATATTAAAATTTAAATCTGAAATGAAATTTAACTTACTTGTTTTAACTCGCTAGACTTTGTTTTAACTCACCAGACTTCAGTTGAAAAGACTTGAATTAAAGTAATGAAGGTACTTACCTTCTCAAAATATAACAACAAAGTATCCAATATATTCTATGCTAAAGAGTTTATCTCAACTTGAGTGTTTTATTCATACATATTAGCCTTCATAGCATCCACAAACCAACTGAATAAGAACAGCAAATATAATATACTTTTTAAATCGCTACTACCAATCACATAAATGCTAGTTAATACGAAAAATGAAATAATAAACATTTAACAATTAATGAAACAGAATAGTTCTAGAAATAAATAAAAAGCACTTTAAAATAGTAAAGTCTGAAACTGCCACCTACACAACAGAATTTGAAGTTAGGAACTTTAATCTTAACAATATTGCTTTTCTTTCTTCTTAAAATGCTTGATTCATCATCATTATTATTATTTTTTTTAATGTGTCATACTTGCATCCAATGGATCATTATCAAAATAACTGAAAAGATATATTTATTATACTGCTTGCACATGTTTAGTCAAGAACCATGCTATACCATACTGGCTGCCACTAAGCACACACAGCAAATGAACATATGAAATCTGAGTACTGGAATAGATGACATTTTTAAAGATATATAAAATGGACTTTCTTGATAAGGTATATGTGGATTTATTCTAATTGCATAGGTTCAATTAATAATACTACAGATGTAATTAATTATACTACATTTTTAGATACAGTATTATATATGAAATACATTTGTCTTTGTTTTTTTAAAATTATATCAAAGATTAACCACAGACACTTTTTACAATACACTTTCTGGATCGACATTCTGGTTCATAATGCTAAATGCTAATAGATATTTGAAAATTTATTTGTCATAAAAAAAATCTAAACTCACACTTCAGAGTCAAACATGTTTCTTATTTTCAAACAAGGTGTCGGACTGTATGTTGGATTCCTTCCTTTGCCTAAACTATTGAAAGCTACAAATGAAAAAAAAATAAACAAATAAATAACGAATGAATAAATAAAAAAATAAATCTTTAAATGCATATAATGACAGACTCCTTGAATTTGATAAATACTAAAACATATTTAAAACTTAAACACTTAGATATTAAAACATATTTAAAAATTAAGAAAGATTTTTACCTTGGCCCTGCCAAACTTTTCCTTGTTTGCCTCCTTCATGCTGATAAACAAAATATATAAGACTTAATAGTTTTAAGTAAATATTTACAGAAAAATGCTAATTAAAAAATGCATATATACACACTATATTAACTAAACAATAAATTCCATTGTTTAGCATTATAAATTTTATATAATACATAACTAGGGCTGAACAATCCATATATAATACCACAATAAAATGTTAAATATTAAAGTATTACATTTTTTAAAGTTCTTTTGACTAAATTATTGAATTTTCTTTCTATCATGAGTATCTAGCCATACAATTAACATTATTTTAGTTATCATCACTATAATTTCCATAACTTTTACTTGGTCTTATCTAAGTATATTTCTTAACAAAATTGGAAATGAGATAATATTACAGATATCTTGGGGTAGAATCTTGCAGATATCATAACAACTATCCCAATAACAATGCTAGAGCTTATGCAAGCTTATCAAAGTGAAATCTAAGACCTCAAATTATAAATTTGGTTTCAGTTTTATGGATTTTAAAATACAACATGGTTAATAAGCAATATAGTTTATCAAACATTTAACAATTAACATTATTTTAGTTATCATCACTATAATTTCCATAACTTTTACTTGGTCTTATCTAAGTAGATTTCTTAACAAAATTGGAAATGAGATAATATTACAGATATCTTGGGGTAGAATCTTGCAGATATCATAACAACTATCCCAATAACAATGCTAGAGCTTATGCAAGCTTATCAAAGTGAAATCTAAGACCTCAAATTATAAATTTGGTTTCAGTTTTATGGATTTTAAAATACAACATGGTTAATAAGCAATATAGTTTATCAAAAACAAAGCACAAATGACTACGCATTGAAAGGTTTTCCAACTAAATTAAAAAATGTTCATTTCCTAAATTTTTTATCATATATAATTAATAAGAAGTATAATAGACTTATAACTTAAGACCCTCTTTAGCCTCAATACTTTTAGGTTCCTTAAACAAGATTTTCTCAGATTATTATATAGTTATTAATATAGGCAGTAAAATATTGCAGGGGGAAAACAAAGGAAAAGCAAGACCTGCAGAGCAGTCAAAAATAAAATAGCAAAACTTTTTGTTTTAGTTTATAGATGGAATATTTCACAGCAAAGAATCCACATCAACTTTATTAATAAAGACTAACAAATATGAAATAGTAGCACAAATAATTAGTACGCAACTAAATAATAGTACAATATACCGGGTGATCAAAAAGTCAGTATAAATTTGAAAACTTAATAAATCACGGAATAATGTAGAAAGAGAGGTAAAAATTGACACACATACTTAGAATGACGTGAGTTTTATAAGAACGAACAAACAAAAAAAAAAAAAAAAAAAAGAGAGAGAGAGAGAGTTCAAAATACTGATATCGGGCCTTTTTTGTTCTAGGAAATGTGTGATTCTGGTTTTGTAACTGCTACCGTGAAGGGTGAGAGGTACGCCAATATGTTACAGAATCGCATCGTCCCCAGCCTGGCTGATAAACACCTGCTGGAACGTACGATTTTTATGCAGGATGGCGCTCCACCCCATATTGCTAGATGCGTGAAAGATCTCTTGCGTGCGTCGTTTGGTGGTGATCGTGTGCTCAGCAGCCACTTTCGTCATGCTTGGCCTCCCAGGTTTCCAGACCTCAGTCCGTGCGATTACCTGAAGTCGCAAGTGTATCGTGATCGACCGACATCTCTAGGGTTGCTGAAAGACAACATCCGACACCAATGCCTCACCATAACTCCGGACATGCTTTACAGTGCTATTCACAACATTATTCCTCGACTACAGGTATTGTTGAGGAATGATGGTGAACATATTGAGCCTTTCCTGTAAAGACATCATCTTTGCTTTGTCTTAATTTGTTATGCTAATTATTGCTTTTCTAATAAAATCCCATGTCATTCTAAGTATGTGTGTCAATTTTTACCTCTCTATCTACATTATTCCGTGATTTATTAAGTTTTCAAATTTGTACTGACTTTTTGATCACCCGGTATTATAAAGCTCTTACATGTGTTTTATAAACCACTCAGATTTTAATCATCTTTTGAGTGCTGTTTCATGAGATCAATATTTCCAGTTAAATGGAAAGCATTTTGATACAATCACTTGTATGAACGTATTTTCTCTTTCAATGAAGTGTTAACTATAAAAAAAAACTTCTTAATTTATAGAAGCGTTCATTATCAATACTATATGGAGCATTAACAGATAACAGACAGTTTGACAGAGGGTCAGAAAGCAAATGGTGAAACTTTAGGCTGTTATTTGGTGAAATTAAAGGAGAAATAATTTTTATTACTGAAAAGTTTACAACAAATGCTTATATGAGGGATCAGCTGTAATACATGCATCACCCAGAACAGATTGGGGAGACTTGGGAGATCATGGCACAAGTCCACTGCAGTCAATCAATCTGTTCAGAAAGGCAATGCCCACGTAGTTTCCCACAATCCTGAAGAAATGTGCTGGCAGTCCATCATACTGGAACTATAAAACTGTTCAAATATATGCCTGTGAATTTTGAAGTTAATTAGGCAGCACTTGCTGAAGAAAGGTGTGGTATTTCAGCCCATCTAGGCAGCTACATAAGCAATAAAGTGATCATAAATGATCCCGACTTCGTTCATGAGGAACTTTTGATGGCAGCTTCTTAAATGGGTAGCATGAAGATTTACTGTGGCCCACATGATTGTTGTACATATTAAATATGCCACCAATGTGAATGCAACTTCATCCATAAACAGGACAAATGCCTGCGAGCTGCAGATGCAGTATGCTCTGCTGCAGGAACCAACATGTAAATGTTACACTTATGGAAAATTTGTTTCATTTAAAGCCTGGACCTGCTGGAGATGGTAAGATCTGTTGAGAGAACCTTTCTTCTCTCAACAGATGTTGTAACATCACATTGTTGACATTTTGTTTGTGGGCTATTGCTTGCATGTTTCATTCAGACTGGTTATCTATTGACTCAAGGGTTATCTCTATTGGATTTATTGTTCTTACACTCCTTGGTTGACCTGTGTGATGTCTTTGGCTGCGGAATGAGCCAACTTCAAGAGCTGTCAGTGAAAGTATTGAAAGGTTTTCCAACTGGGCAGTACCCTTCTTGGATATTGTTCTGATAAAGTCTTACAGTTTCTGTAGCACTGCTGTCTGCAACACCGTACATACGGTACATATGAGCCTTCTCTGCATTTTAATATTTCTGCATCACTAGTGACAAAACAGGTGAATAATGGGGTTCTGCAATGATGATGTCATCCACTCCAAAGAAAGCGCTCACTCACAGCTTGTCGTTTGCTTTCCGATCTCCATTGTATGGTGAAAGTAGTTTGTTTTGGAAAGTTCTATTAGCCCTTACAGTTGTGGCTATTAGTTTTGTTACAGTCTGTAGATTTAAAACTTCAGAACTATTCCTGTAAGTTTATGAATATTATGCTGTTTCTTGTTGTCTTAGCACTTCCATTAACCATAAGTAATCTTTCTAAAATATGTTTCAAATGATATTATCAATTTAATCACATATCACTGCATAAATGAAGAGGGGGAAAACAAAGAAGGGTGACTGAAAAATAGAGAAGAATTAATCACCTAGTATGATCTGAAGAATCACCTAGCATCATCATCTGAAGAAAAATTAATCACCTTAAAATACACTTAAGTACTTAAATACATTTAAAATAGAAAACAAAGTAAGAATGAATAAGAAATTAAAGTAAAAGCAATGTTGTTTTAAAAATTGACAAACTATCATAGCCATAAATAGAATTATAAACAGACCTGGAAATATGCCAGCAAAAAAGCATCGGTACTTAATGTATGATTTTGCCTAAAGATTACTGCATCTCATGCCATCAATTTCTTCAATAAATACAAGTATAATTCTTTAAATGAGTTTGAAATATTTTATTACACAGGCTCTTTTTTCAATTAACATTCATGTCAATTTATTTTTCAATTATTTATTATTATTTTTTAATTTAAAACTTGCCATTAGAAAAATCTTTTAGGGAAATCTGCACATTCAGTTTTAAACTTTGACCAAAGAGTACAACTCAAAAATAGTTTGATAACCTTCACCAGCATAGTTAATGTATCTTGATGATAAATTGTATAAACTGTTGTATTCAAATGTTGATAAACATCTAGGCAAAAAATGCATTGACAGAATGTTTCTAGGCAAAAGCGGTCCAGAAACTGACTTCAATATATTATTATACTGGAAATTGAGTTTTTATTTCTTACAAAAACTTTTAGCAGTAGAATTTCAAAATTTACTTTAATAAACAGAAAATTCATTGTTCTTAACACCCGCCCCTCCAAAAAAAATCTTTTATTTGGTTTTTACAATATAATAATAATACTAATAAAAGAAAAACATACCTCAGCAGGTGTGCAAGGGTTCCATCTCCAAACTTTAAAATCTTCTCCATTTATTGTTTTATACTCCACTGAGACTCTTGACTCATTTTCTTCTATAAATGCTACAACTTTATCCCACAGCCAAAGCTTGTCTTTCCTATGCATGGAAATAAACATTATAAATAAAACATAAAAACAAGCAGAAATCATCACAATGTAAAACCTGAAAACTGCACATTACCTTTCCTTAGCTGGTATTAATGTATCCCTTATGGTCACTACAGCCTTGTAAGGTCCTACATTTGAATCAGACTGATATGAGATGTCCTGGGAATCTTGAAGAATATCTGCAACATTACATTCATTACAGGCACGTTTTGAGAATATTTATATTTCTTTTAGAAAGACATTAAAAATAAACTCTTGTATTCTGCTTAAATGGGGGGGGGGGGAATGTTCAATTTTTTTTTTAATAATGTGGTAAAAGCCCAACTAGCCAGAAAGTTTTCAAATTTTAGAAACTTTTTTTTAATAAGAGGCTTGTAACTTAATCATAAATCACAAAGAGGAGGACACAAATCAGAACTGTCACGTTAGCAGAAATCTGATATGTACACCACATCACTTCCTTGTATGAAATATTAAATTGCACGCACTTTTTCCTGCATTTCATTTAAACTTATTTCCTCGAATTTCAGATAGATTTCTCATTCAATTAATTCAGTTCTCACTTCATGCCAAGGCAAAAATACATAAAAACTCAAAATAACTGTATTAAACATTGAAAGATATAGAAAAACATAAAACACCAAATACAGTTAAAACAATTTTAAAAAATTTTTTTATTATTAAAATTACAGTTTCTACACAAAAACAAGCAATTTGGCCGCCGGCTAAGAAGGTAGATTTTTGAGTGCACAAAACTGAAAGCTTACTTTTGGTCTGACTCGGCAAAAAGACACTGAAGGCATAGAAACTGACTTATATGACTAGCCATATTTGCTATAGATGCCCTGCTGAGTCAACATATGGGATAATTTAATAACTTAAATGATAATTCCAGGATTGTGCATAATCTATTTAACAATAATAAAAGAAGACGTTAATTTGTTATTGCAAAGCTTAATTTCTCTAAATTTGCAGCAAATCCACTACTCTGCTAAGTTTCAAATGGAAAGCAAATATGGCTGCTATGGTAAAAAAAAATAGGCTTAGCCACACTTAAACAGCTTTAAATTGTTGAAAATTCTACAACTATTACATGCAGGCTGTATGCAGGTTGATTACAACTATAACATGCATAAAAATCTTAACTGGAAGATAAAAACAACATAATTCAATTATTTTTAAAGCAAAAAATGCACAATTTACAAACATATAAGAATAAAGAAACTGAGCTCACTGAGCCAAGTAACAGAGTGGATATGAATTTAAGATCATACAACATTATATATATATATATATATATGTATACTTTGGTGCAGCCAACTGCAGCCAACCAGGAAGGTGCACATCTATATGTTCTAGCAGTCCCACATACAAAATTTTAACGTTCTGAGGCTATTCGTTTTTGAGTTATGCGAGATACATACGTAAGTACGTATAGACGGCGTGGAAAAATCTTATTTGAATGCATTTTAAATCAGTTTTATAATTCATTTGAGGAAAAAGTCTTTTATTCTGTCCTTACATACTAATGCTACACAAAAAACATGGTTAAATTGCATTCGATAGCGTCAAAATGGATATTTCCATTTAAATATGGCACCCAGAATTTTTTGTGATTACAATACTTCCTTTACTTTGTACAAGGAAGTAAAAACTGTTACCAAGCAGCACCAAGAATGGATAAGCATGACATCACAACCCAATCACATAATCTTCACCTTGGCTTTATGTAAACCCAATTAATTCTCAAAATTAGGTAACTGCTATTTATCTGTTTTTAACTGCATTTTGAAAAAATGACTAAAATTTGGTATTTGATTTTAATGGAACAACATGCAAAAAAAGCATTTTCAAAATTATGGGATCATGGCATCAAGATCTCTGCCAGTTTTCATGGTCAATATTTCATAACTGATATTATGTTTTAATTTAGCATTTATGTCTGGAATGTCCTTTTCCTATTGAAATCTCATATAACTTAAATATGGTATTTGATATTCTTAATATAAATGAAATGATAACAAATGAAATGACTCTTTTTATAATTTTAGACCCAACATATTTTTTCCCATTCACTTGGCTTTTCTACCATGAACTGCACTTTTTTATATGCTCAATTATCTGGAATTTTTTAGAATTTCCCATTTACCAAGCTTTTTGGATAGTCAAGCTTTTACTGTAGTTTTTAAATTGCAAGATTAATATTTTATGTTTAAATGCAGGTAACATAATTTCCAGAAGCCAGACTCTACACTGATCTTAACCATTATGAAACAGTTCTAGAAATGAGTTCAAGTAACTTCTTAGTATTCCAAGCAAAGATAAAATGATTATTTGGGAAAAAATTCACAATTATGTATGGAGTGCTTAAAAAAATTCCCTGTTAATAAAATACTGGCATATTTACACAAATCATCCAGTGTCCTGGTATTGCCATTTGCTTTGCTAATCAGACCAACAAAGAAAAATGAGAGGTATGCCAGCATAAAAGTCAAATTTAGAAGATAGTTTTTCTAATCTAAAAATTAATCTGCATAAGAGAGCAGACACTTTCCTGCCAGGGCACCTTTGTGAAAGCTTCGAACAGCAGCCAACTTACACAAAGGTGTTAGCACCTTTATGATGGAGCACTACTATACAGTTGTCCCATTATGTATTACACTAAACTAACAACTAAAAAAAAAAAACAATAATTTTTCATTTATAATTAGATTACAGCCATAAACCCATGTAAATGTCTTAATGTATTGTAAAGCTTGTCATGTTTGCTATTTGACATAATCTAATTATTCTATGTTTACTGTACACCTATTTACTCCAAGTTAAAAATTTCCTAGCATCTTCAGGAATAAATTAAGAATTCATGAATAAATTGATTCTCTTATTTCATAAAAATATAATTTTTGTTATTGTTTCTTTAGTATTTTGACAATGCAAAGGTATATAAGATGGTTGTTTTTATTATGTAGATATGAAATGACAGTCATATGAGAAACAGCCTTTTGCAACACTAGCTGTTGTGTAATTTGAAGAAAAAGGCTAGAGGGCGCTGTTGCTCGCTTAGTTGAAGAGAATAAAGTTTGTTCATGTTGTAGGCGGCGGCCTAAGAATACACTCTGTATATAGTAATTAAAATATTGTTTAAAATGTAAAAGTGTTAAAATTAGTAAACTCACTGAACCACCATCATCTGATTTGGAGATGCACAAAATTATTAGATGGTGCATCGGCGTAAGGAATTAAGGCTTTGTGAAGATTTTAGGTGTTCGATCCAAGTGTTTCGATTTCAATGGATATTTCATGTTCAAGTGACAATGGAATTCCAAATAAAGGTAGGGAAATCTTAAATTAATTATTTAGTTATTATTTGTAGTACATTAGTAAGTATTTATTATTGCTGTCGTGGGTGTATTTAAATTAAATAAAATGGAAGAGAAGTTAGATAGATTGAAACGTAAACGTTCCACATTGAGATCGTCTGTTACTAGGTTAATTAAAGTGATTGAAGATAAATTAAAAGTTGAAGGGGAGGAAAATTCGATTAAAGAATTACGAGAATTGTTTGAATTATTAACCGAAAAGAAAAATAATTTAAGAACGCTTGATGATGAAATACAAGAGTTAATTGATGTTAACTTAATTGAAGAAGATTGTAGTATAAGCGAAGAATACAATGACAAATGTATAATTGCTTGTAGTCAAATTAAGCAGTTTCTAGGTGCGGTTACCGCAGTACCGCCAGCGAGGAATCCCCAAAGTTCTGATTTAAACCAGTCTAGTGGTAATGGAATTTTGCATGTACGAGTAAGTTCCAGTTCTAGTGGGAGTAGTACGCTGAAATTACCAAAATTAATGATTGATAAATTTTGGGGAGACCCAAACAATGGAATGAATTTTGGAATAGTTTCGAAAATTCGATACATAAAAACGAAACGCTTTCAAAAATACAAAAATTTGTATACTTAAAAACATTCTTAACGGGACAAGCTTCGAATGTTGTGTCAGGCTTTGAGTTAACAGAAAGTAATTATGATAGTTGTGTAGCATTACTAAAGGACAGATATGGACAGATATGGTCGAAAAGACCTGATCATTAATTCATTCATGAATAAAATTCTCAATTTAGAAGCCGTTAAAAATTCTGCTAACGTAAAGGCTTTACGTAAATTATATGACGAATTAGAAGTTTCGATTCGTAATTTGGAAACTTTAGAAGTAACTTCTGGTTCATATGGACATTTATTAATTCCAATATTATTTAAAATTAATTCCGGACGATTTAGTTTTGGAATTTAATCGGCAAAGAGATCGAAAGATAAAGTTGAAGTTTCGGAATTAACACAATTTATTAAAACGGAAATAGAATGCAGGGAAGTTTCAAATCTAGTATTAAGCGAAAGGAAAAATCCTGTGCCTCCGCGAGTCGATCAATCAAAATATGAAACTAGAAAATATGTAAAAAATACACCCACGGCTGCATTTCATACTGCAGTTAACCGAAAATGCATCTTTTGTGATAATTTGCACGAGTCATTTAAATGCGAAGTGAATGTTTCTGATAAATTAAAGAAACTAAGATCCGAAAACCGCTGCTTTTCTTGTTTTAAAAAATTTCATACATCAAAAAAAGGTGTAGCAGAAATAAAACTAAATGTAATAAATGTGGCGGTATGTATCACAATGAATCGATTTGTACTAATAAATCCCTTGTAAACAAAAAGTTGGAACAAGGTTATTCCGAAAAATGAAACTGAATCTCTGACTTTGAATTCTGAGGAAAGAAATAAAGTTCAAAACTTAAAATTGATTGCTTCTGTTCCTCAAGGTGATAATAATAATAATAATAATGACTGTAATGCCAGGGAAATATAATTACAAACTTGTAAAGTTTATGCTTTTTCTAAGTATAAATCAAAATTAACTAGATTAATTCTTGATCAAGGCAGTCACAGATCCTTTATAACGAAAAAATTGGCCGACCATTTAAAACTTACTCCAATCCGTTATGATGAAAGACTTTCTGTTTATTCATTTGGTGCGACGAAGGCAATGAATCATTCCTATCCGGTCGTTGAAATCGAAATTCAGAATTGGAAACAAAATAATAAAATAAAAATTGAATGTTTGATCTCGGATGTTATTTCCTCGGCGTCCATCAGTGTGCCTAGTAAACAAATTG